TTTTCCTGCTGCCATGTTTGACATGTAGCTTTCTTCATCCTGTTTGATGCCTTGTGCTTGAAAGCTAGCTGTTCTACCACTGGTGTTGCATCAGCACTCCAGAGAATCTTAACTGACAGTGCTTTGTCACCCCTCCCACAGGTATCTGACATCTCTACAGTTTTGGTTGTCACAGCTTATGTGGGATTTGCAACTGGCATTTAGTTTGTTCAAGGCAATGGTGCTTCGAGATATCCAAGAACCTACAGGAAAAACCCTCACAAGCGTTATTTGGTCCTGATGTCAATATTGCTGAAGCTGGAAATCCCTGGATTAAAGGCAGGGAGCCTATTCCAGCCAGATATATTCTCTTATGAAATAGATGCTCGGAAATGGACAAAGCTGACCCAAATCTTATCCTATAATCAAATCCAGCTGTTAGGGAATCTGTGGCTGAATCTATATATGTTTGGTTTAACTTATTGTCCTCCTGAGTATCACTGGGTCTACCATAAGAAAATGATGGTAGACTAGATCAATTTATGTTAAACACTAGGAAATTTTGACTTTTGAAGAGAAATATTTGCCTATAGACACAGAGGTAATGAAGATCATCACCTGCCTATCAAATGTAGCTTCACTCCAGATGTATGCATGGAATAATGGATGGAAATAACTAGTTATAGAAAACCCTTGAGATTTTTTTATCAGCCTCCAATAGTCCAGAAAATGTTTTTCACTAGACATAATATGCCATCTGTTAAATATTCATCCCCATTATTTCCTCAATATTTGTATGATGACTTGCTTCTCCCTTCTGCCATAATCAGTGGGATAATTGATTTAAGACACATCTAACTCATACCTTGACCTTCAACAAACCATCCAAATATTGGTGGATCATTGTTCTCATTCTGAATATGTTAGTAAGTGATGTGCCACTATTTGTTCTATTCTGTATGCAAGAAAGCAGACAGATTTCTATGTGTACCAAGCAGGAAAATGTTTAATGTGAGTGATTAGAGGGGTTATGTAACCATTTTTGGGCCAGGAAGTAAAGACCAAGACTGGTTACTGCTGACTGTACCCCAAAGGATTTTCCCCAGGAGAATGTTTGGAAGTTGATGGTTAAATTTTGTATTTACTGTCTGTAGATGTCCATGGGCCTCACTAATGCTTCTTCTACAGTGTATAAATTACATCTACATCTCTTCCCCCTTTTTAAACCCTATTGAGTATTTCTTGTTGACAGTTTGGTCTAGAGTCATGCCAAGTGGGTTTCTGAGCAATGCAGTTCTAAAGCTTCTCAGGAGAAAAAGTGGGATGGATTGGAATGGTGTGAAATTAGGAGCAAACTGAGGGAGAAGGAACATTGTGCCAGAATATATATATTTTGACAAAAAATATTCTACTGAGCTGTTAGCAGCCTGCTATTAGAATCATTATTTATGTATTCCTGGTAGGGAAATCTAGATTTTTTTTGTATTTCTTTTCTGATTCTCTTCAAGCTGTGGTGGTGCTAAATAAATAAGAATTTAGTGCTATACATATACAGTACAGGAGTTAATGTATTCTGTGAAACTCTATAGTGCAGTGAGGTCTCAGAGCATGAGGTTTGAAAAAGAATGCATAATTAACGGATCCACTTTGGAAAGGCCAGCGTTCAGAAACAACTGTGCATGACTCAGCTTCTCTTGTGTATTTTTGGGGGTGTGTGCTGGAGGAAACTATCTCCAATTCTTTATTTGCTAAAATGATGCAGATGACTTGTGATGAGTCACTAAATTATACTAAGAAATTAGCTACAACGAGGAAAGTAAACACTTTCAGGAAGAGGTAACCTAAAACCATAATGTTGTGGTCTTGAGAGAGTAGCAACATCCTGCTATTATATTAAGGTTTTAGTATAGCTCGTAGGCTTTTGAAGGCAGAATTTGTTCTATATTATATTTGAATCCCTAGAACAGCAAAACTTATTAGGGCCTGTGGCCTGCAGCACTTGTAAAATCCTAAATCTTGAGTTAAAAGTCTCTGATATTTAATATTTATATCATCTCAAAGGAAATACAAGAAATGTACTATCTTACCCTATTCCTCAAGTAAGGAGATTTGGATGGGACTATAGATATGCCATTAACCAGAGCAGTGTGAGAAGTCACTGGTTTTATTGAGGCTTTGCTAGAATACAGCTAATGGGGCTGAGGCTGCCTGGGTGTTAGATAGCTCATCTGAAGGCAGACCTAGAGATATGGACTCACATGCAAGTGATTTATTTGCAAAATGCTTGCAAGTGAAGACAGCAGAGGAATGGAAGAAACTAGACCAAGACCGGGAAGAGCTGAAGGGCAGAACCAATTTCAGAAGACATTTCTGAAGTGGTCTGATCCTGGGAGGAACTTTGCTAGTGTAAATTATACCTCTGAGCTGGTCCTGAATTGAGGGGAAAATGCTGAGCTTTCATGACCCTGCCACAGTCATTGGCTTAGAGTTGCTTGTATGGAAGGAGAGGTCAGAATGACAGAAGACAGATCAATAGCTCAGAACAAGCTGTGGTTATATGTAGCCCTTCAGAGTCTCTGGTGCTGGCAATTAGAAAAGACAGGGCTGTAGAAACAAGACCAGAACAACAGTAATATGAAGGTGGAAGGGAAAAATGTTTGCAGGGTCCAATTCTTAGACTAAGATCTATAGATGACTAATGTCTGCTGGAAGGAGAATTAGCCCCTCTAAGTGATAAATCCCCTTACTGATTGTCCAATGAGGAGAGGCCAGCCTTTAAACTGTGTATATACTACCATCAAAAATGAATACATCTGGATCTCTGTGTGTAACAATAATAATCAAAAGGAGGTTCTCAACGTGAGAGTGTGGGAAGTATGAGAAGATGGGAGGAGTTCAAGGGACGACCTCAGAGAAGGGCCAGAGGGAAGAAAGGGAGGGAGGGAAATGATGTAATTCTATTGTAGTTAAAAACAGTTATAAAGAAAAGAATCTTGAGAGGGGTGTCTATACACAAGTGATAAAAAGCATCCCAGGGAATGTGGGTAGAGCCCAGACAATGTACTTGTAACACTGTTTAAAGTTGATTATTTTATTTTAATTAATTTTATTTTATGAAATCCAAAATCTGGGGCCATGGGAAGAGAGGGTTTCACGTGGAGCTACAAAGTTGCTCTAGAGCAAGGGCTGAGAAACTTTCTTCCAAAGGTCTAGATAAAATATTTGAGACTTTGTGGGCCCCAGAGTTTTTCTTTCAATGACTCAGCTCAGAAGTTGTAGCACAGAGGCAGTTATAGATGCTAGGTAAATGAATGACTGTGGCTGTGTTCCAGCATAATTTTGTGAAAACAAGTAGAAGAGGAGGGCTGAATTGGTCCTGGAGCCACAGTTTGCCAGTTGTTGCTCTAGACTGGTACTCACACTGATTTTTCCTTTATCTATTCCCTGCATGGTGCAAAACAAAGAAGGCAATCATTAGTACCTCTGTCTATCAAGTGGATGACTATGAGGAGATGCATCTTAAATTATTCTGGCCCCCCTGCCTCTGATCTTTCTGGTGTTCTGGCTGTTATTTACAGAGCTGTATGGATAATCATCCTGATGCATGACTCATCGCTTTTCACTTCTCTTGGAAATATTTAACCCTCACTTATCTTTACAACAACAACAACAACAACAGGCACTTGTTAGCAAGGCACTCGGGTGTTTCCATGAATAATCCATGAATTTCCTATATAACAGTCTTTCATATTAATTTATTTAAATTGTGGGATAACTGTTGACATATTCATGAAGCACACCAGGATGTTTTAACATAGGTATGCACTGTAGAATGACTAATTGTAATTAATGGACATATACATTATCTTACCTATTTATCACTTTTTGTGGTAAAAACATTAAAAATCTGTATACTCAACTGACCACGTGGATCAATGTGAACTTGGAGTTTGTCTACAAACATGAGCTTTTGAGATTTGCAGCAGGCCCCAGGTCATTTTACAGTCTTCTTTACCACCTGCTCCTTTAAGTCTTTAAACAGTACTTGTCTTTCTGTATCTAATTTATTTCCATTTCCTCAGTGATCTCTGATTTTATAACCCTTTTGTACCTGAATATTATCCCATTGTGTGTATGTATGTTTGTGTATACTACACTGTATCCATATTCATCAATCAGTAGGTCATTTCTATTTCTTGGCTACTGCACATAATACTGCAATGAACACAGGAGTGCAAATGGCTCTTTGATATACGGATTTCATTTTCTTTGTGTACCTATTATCTATGGCTCTAACCAGTAGAGGAATTGCTGGATCTCACAGTAATTTTGGCTTTAGTCTTTTGAGCAGTCAATTTTCCACGGTGGCTGCATCAACAGTATGAAGGTAAGTGTCCTTTAGTTCTCCAGAGCCCTACCAACGCTTCTTTATAATATCTAGCTTACTGTGTGCCAGATAATAATTTCTTGTGTTTTTAATTCACATTTCCCCGGTGATTAGTGATGTTAAAATATTCCTTTTTACATACTGGCTGCACATGTATGTATGAGAAACAGTTTTTCAAATTCTTTAAGAAACTTATTTTTGCTATGGAGTCATTTAGATTTTTAAAATGTATTTCAGACATTCACCTTTATCAGCTATGCTCTTATTATCTGTTTATTATTTCCATTTCTAGACTCTTGTTGCCCTCTGCTCTGTATTTTTGAAATGGTAACTATTCTCACAGATGTGTGTTTTCCCCATGAGGAAATAGTCTCTCTTTCAGATTTTAATAACAGTGCTATCCGTTTCCATTAAAATCTTTATCTTTATAAAAGTTATTTGCTACATTCACTCTATTTGTAGCACACTGAGGAGAGGTAGTAAATCTTTTTGTTTGTCCTTTACAGTGCCTTGCATATAGAAGACATTTAGTCAACGGACTTTACAGATGAAGACTGAAGTCCTATATCCAATGATTATTAATGATTTAAGTGAAGAAACTCTGACATCATATTTCTCATTTTCCTTTTTATAGGCAAGAGCTGTTTTGGCAAAAGTTGGCTATCCAGAGTTTATAATGAATGATACTTATGTTAATGAAGACCTCAAGGCAGTAAGTGCTAAATTTACTGTATTTTTTTGGCAAGTTTTACTGGCCTAATGCCTATTAACTAACCCAAGTCTAAGCAATTAAACCTAGTGGTGCCAGAAAGTACCAACTTTTGATTAATTCCTTGGCTATATAGGAGTTTGAGTTTGCCAGGCCTATCTCAAGATTTAGTGCATATTCCAAATGCAGGAAGTGTCAGAAGCTGAGTGGACATCATAAAGCAAATGGAAATAATTCACCAAATTGAGTATTTTACAATTAGCGGACATGTTCTAATGGTGAATGCATCATGTTTGTTGTTAATTTTTTAAAATTTTCTTCATTCATATTAAATGGATAGACATAAATCTGCCTGCTGAGAGTTAACTTCATTAAACTTTATGACTGTTTTGGTAAATTAAGTGCATATATGTATGACTCTATAATTTATTATGTATTGGACTGTATATTGGCAGTAAGTTAGTGATGAGGAATGGTAATAATTCTTTTTTATTCTGCTGTTCTGTGATACATATTTTTATTATAGCCCTTTCTAATCACAACTACTGCTATTTCCTTTCCCATAAATAGTTCTGAAGACATTTTTTCCTTCTTCACAGAAAAACCAGCCCTGCTTTCACAATTCACTGAACTTTAAAAAAATATGTATTTTATGTATATAGTTGTTTTATATGCATATATTTCTGTGTATTGCCTGTTTGCCTGGCACCACAGAGGCCAGAAGAGGGTATTGTCCCCTAGAACTGTAGTTACAGTTGGCTATAAGCTGCCCAATGTGGGTGCTGGGAATCAAACCCAGGTTGTCAGGAAGAGCAGCCAGTGAGCCATCTCTCCATCCCCAGAATTATACTTTCTTTAAAGGTAGTCTTGAAATGCTTGCAATAACTATGATTCATAAGTCTAGCTCTTTGCTAAAATTGTGGCTTGACTTGTGGCCTAATAAACAGTCCTAGTTTTGTGGGTGACTATTAGAAATTTATAAGAGTCTTTACACATGAGATAAAGACTAAATTTAACACTTTCTACATTTCAGTCATGAAGAAGGTGTTAATTTTGCTGATTAAATTGAACACTATTTCTACTCACATTTTTTCTCACATGTCCAGGAGCAATTTTCTGCTTTTGAACAGGATTGATACTAACTTCACCCTCAGATAGAAATAGTATTTACCATTATCTCAGGATTAGTCTGGAAGAATGTCACCTCACATTCTGCTTGTACCATTAGATGTGAATAGTTACAGCATCATTAAAGGAACAAATAGTTTTTACCATTTATTACATATTAAAAACAGGAGTTAGTATGGAAATTACAAAAATAAATCTTTGTAATATATAAATATTTGTAGAACTTTTGAAAGAGCTCAGTGCATTGAAGGTTATGGAATGTACTGAAACAGTCTGATGCAACAGGTTTTGGGGGTGTTTATGTTCCAAAATTATTTTCTAGGTAGGAAAAACATCGTGCCTTCATGGAATGGGAGAGAACTTTCTCCATTTGGCTTCAATTATGACCTCCCTAAAATTTATGATATAGCTTTGGAAGAAAGCAGTTATATTTTCTAGCATCTTAATTTTCAGACAGCTTATCTTCTATACTGCTTGGATAATTCTGAACATTTTATCATTAAGATAATTAAATGTTGAAACTTAGTACATTGACTACATGATATTTTTATCCATGTCTTCATTGACCCTATGAAGTCAGGGAATTGATGAACTTCTTGTAGAGAAGGATGGAAAGAGTCAAATAAATTGGGTAATCTTTTCAATTCCACACAGAGTGTGAGGTCAGGGATTCTGGGATGATGAAGCACTGGCCGAAATGAGAGAAGGGGGAATCTCAGGGATATCTGATCAGGATGCTGGGCTGAAAGAAGCCTTGGAGGTGTGTGCTTGCCAGAGTTGGTGGGAAGGAAAGGAACAGAAAGGAGAGGATATTGTTTAGAGATTAACAGTGTGTTTTCTGGAGTAGTGGGCTTAGGTTTGAATTCTGCATTTTCCAGTCCCATTTATTTGATCTTGTGTAGATTGATGTTCCCCTTGGCTATTTTTTTATGTATGCAATTTTTAAATTATATATTTTATTATTTAAAACATTTTAAAATTTACATATATTTTGATCATATTCTTCCCCTCCTCCAAGTCCTTCTTGATCCTCCCACCAACTTTAAGTTCTTTAAAAATGCCATAGAAACCTAATACAACACCCCCCAAAAGGAAATATCACCCAAAAAGAAAAAAGAAAAAAAACAAAGAAACAAAAGCCACCAAACTGTAATCAAATAAAAGCACACAAAAACTTTTAGGTTCCATTATATGCTGATCTGCTATTTCTGAGCATGAGGCCTGTCCTGGAGTGGTTGATATACCCAGTGTCACTCCATTGGAGAAACCTGATCTTCCCTCTTCTAGAGGGTGTATGTGACAGTTTAGTTGTTAAGCTGTACTCTAGTGTCTTAGGGTTTTACTGCTGTGAACAGACACCATGACCAAGGCAACTATTATAAGGACAACATTTAATTGGGATTGGCTTACAGGTTCAGAAGTTCAGTCCATTATCATTAAGGTAGGAACATGGCAGCATCCAGACAGGCATGGTACAGGAGGAGCTGAGAGTTCTACATCTTCATCTAACAGCTGCTAGTGGAAGACTGGCTTCTAGGCAGCTAGAATGAGGGTATTAAAGTCCACATCTACAGTGACTCACTTACTCCAACAAGGCCACATCTCCCAATAGTGCCACTCCCAGGGCCAAGCATATACAATCTGTCATATCTAGTATGAAGATTTTTTATCTATCTATCTATCTATCTATCTATCTATCTATCTATCTATCTAT